TGGTTCAAAGGCTACTAGGAAGGGGTAAGAAGAAAGAGCCCGTAATCACTGAGGCAGGAGACGAAAATGAGGAGGAAAGAACGGAGTCTTCGTCCGTCTTATATGGGAAGATGGAAGACCTGCTGGATAAGATGGGGAGGTACCAACGGAAGCTGGTGGGCCTCTGTGAGGRARTGAAGAGATGGAAATCTAGCATCCCCAAGGTGTTCCTCTACGACTCCGGTCCGGAATCAGCACCTGGGCGACCCGGAGTAAATGTGGTGGGGTCATGCCCACAATCAGGAATAAGGGGGAGACCCCTCACTCCGCAGGCACGGCTGGCACAGGCAGCGCGAACGAGAAATCAAGCCAGAGTCAACGCCAGCCAAGGGCCTCCGAGTAGGGAGGCGGAGCCAGAAAAGGGAAAGGAGGCCGTCGAAGTAGAAGATGAGGATGATGACGATGAAGAGGAAGAGGACGAGAGGCTGCGTAGGGAGGAGGATCAGAAAGCGGAGCAGCGGGCGAGGAAAAAAGGAACCAGGGGAGAGATCGAGCCGGTCATGCGCGAYGGACYGCCCAAAAGGAAGAAATACGCGGTCCGGTTGGAAGAAGGATTTGACGTGGAGAAAGTGATTGACCGGCTGTTGGAAGGGCATAATGACCTCATGACCCTGAAGGAAATCCTAGCGTTAGCCCCGCGACTCCGCGATGAACTGAAGGGGCATGATGGGATGTTGATCCTCCTCTTATGTGATCCTGCCTGCGGGAATTATGAAATAATTACTTGCAGGAACACCGGGCCAAGAAGTATAAGGAACCGGCCCAATCCAGGATCATTCACAATCGAGGAATCGGAAGGGGAGCGCAGGAGACTCTGGGCAGAGCCCGAAGCGGGAGAGAGGGTAGAAGCCTTTTCCCTCAGTCTGTCAGATATTGGGAAAGCCATGGATTTAGTGGCCGTGCATGAGATGGCAGATCCGGATGCCGTCCAGGCTTTGAGGGAGCAAGTTCTGGAATGCCCCGAGGCAGGAAGATTGAAATTGGTATATCGGCTCCCAGGCAGTAGAGGGAACCCCGCATCAGCGCAAATACAATCCGTGAGTCGGCCTTTTTTAGAGGACGGCTCAAGCAGGGCTCCCAAAGGCGGTACAAGACGATAGATAAGAAGTGCCGGCCAGTACCCGTCCTCGTTACAGAGGACGAAGAAGCATACTACGAAAGGGAACGAGGGTTGATTCGAAGGATGAGGGAAAGTGCTTTAGCAAGGTCATGTCGTATCAATGAAGGAAACGAGAAGGAGTTGATCATAGGGGAGTCTGATTTTCTGCTACCTCAGGAGCGAACRTTGATGGTAGAGCTAATGAAGAGGAAGCATCGCGCCTACGCGTTTAGTGACGAGGAGCGTGGCAGGATAGATGTAGACAAGATACCTATGATCCGCATACATACCGTGCCACACGAGCCTTGGAACATGAGAGGGGCGCGATATCCCAATCCTGACGAGGAAAAGAAGGTGGTGGATTATCTCGATGGCAAGATACGTACTCACGTCGCCGACTATTCAAGTGGACCGTATGCGTCCCCGTGGTTCTGTTTCATTAAGCCTAACGGGACGCTGCGGTGGGTGCAGGATTTGCAAA